GTTGTTGCTTGATCGGACCGATTGGTGGCAGTGGGTTGGAAATCAATTGTGTGCCCCTTATTACTGGTTTGCTATCCCCTAGTCAGGGCAGGGGAGTTCACTTTGGGGCATCTATATATCGGTTGGTGGAATATTGACAAATGTACGCTACCCAGAATGTCTCGGCTGCGTTTCAACACTCTTCTTGAATAAAATAAAATGTTCAATGGATTGTGGGATGGTCAATCAAATATTGAATCCGTTTTCATTTTTGGCAATTCACCTAATTACCTCAGGCCAGCGAATACGACATCCGATTTGAAGCCACCAAAGCCCCTTCGTCAATTCATTAAAACGCTTCAAATCGGAAATTAATGAGAAATCGTTTTTGGCCCGTAGATTGCACGTCCAAACGGGTTAGACGCCCAACCCACTTGGTTCACTCTCTCAGTGCGTGATCTTCGTTCAAAGAAAGATAAAGATAAAGATGGATTGATATCGGGATCCGGATACGCTGATAGTTCATGTGAAACATTGACCTCATTACATTCGTATAGAATATCGCTCAGTTCCCGGTACAACCTCAGCCTCAGAGCGTTTCTACTCGAGTAGTGTTCCGCTGACATGCGAATGCGGCAAAACAAGTAGTCACGTCTTCGCTGTATCATTCACTCGAGGTTCATATAATCGTGATTAGTGTTCATGTGTGTGCAAAAGGAAAGCGAAAAGTACTCTCAACCCATTTAGACCATGTTTCACTCCACCCCTCTTTAAACCCCACCCTAGTCACTGCCATCTTGACCGGTCTGAAAATTCAGTAGCCATCCCGTGCGGGATAGAGAGAACCGCGGCTGACCAATTTTGCATTCAGCACATTTGGTCGGTGCACTTATTCACTCCACGCCACACACCTCCCCGCCACCCTCCGAACACACATCACCTGCGCTTTTGTACACACACATGAATGACTCATCTATATATGTGGAGGGTGAGGGTTGGGTGACAGCTTGACTGAGTCGTATGACATACCGGGACCACCATTCCAACTGTATTGCTGAGTTGGCGTAGGAATGTTTGTGTGCGCATCTCGACCGCTTGGAGTATTGCTGTGCTGAAGGCGGTTGAAGGAGGAAGAACGTGTATGTGTGTGTGTGTGTGTGTGTGTGTGTGGATCAGATTGGCAACCGTGTCGGTTGGGGTCAATACAATCGTCCTTTCAGTCGTGGAAGGCAAGATAAATGACCATATGCTCAAATGAACTGCACTGTGCTTTGTGAAGTTAAAACAGAATTGTCGATTGTACCCAACAGTAGTGCATGCACCATTCGGCGTGAGTAAAAATCAAGACTCATTCGTTGCCTAATTTGGAAATGAAACCTGAAAAAATTTGATGCACGGAACACACTGGAACTATCACATAATCGCTTAGTGAACTACGTGAAATATTACATTAACATTTAAAATGGGAAATGGAGCAGAATTCACATGTTCCCTTTAAGTAATAATACTCGTCAGGTTTTAAATAGCCGACTGTCAGTAAGCAGTCGTATAGGTTGTTCGCAAATTGGCCAGATGATTGTAGGTTCGAACCCACACCACAGCCTTCAATCGACCGTTAACCCCTTCCTGACAATTGTGAGAATCATAAAATATAAGTAAGCTAAAATCCCTGACCATCTTACATTTTCTCACTAACTTTGTATGCACTACGAATTTGGCAGCCATCCATGCTGTTCGCATCAATGTATTTCGTTGAGCAAGGATGAGGATGATGTGGACGCAGCAGTACAACCAGACTAGTTGGCAGTGCCTTCAATCAAACTATCTCCCCATTTTATATCGTACAGCTGATTATTATTATCGCTTTTCGTTATGGTTAACGTGGCCCTTTAATTACAGATCGTTTGGTTTTCATGCCTGGAAAAGTAAAACATTACTAGTTTTACTAAGATGATCATGGACTTCTAACCTACTTTGTTTGATAACACCATGCTCTTTCCTCTTGTCGGCATCGATTTGAAATGTATCATGTGTATAATAATTTCAGTCACAATCTGATAGATAAAGAAGCATAGCACATTATACACCATTCAAAAAAATGTTTACGTGTAAATTGAGTCAGATACACGTAAATATCTTTCAAAAACTTCCGATTCCCCCGTTCGCATTACTATTTTCAAAATTAGTGTCTGTCACTGTACACACATCGAGCTGTCACGTGACCACATAGATTCAGTTCAGTTGTTGTGTATACTACTAATGAGTAGGGACTATTGTGTCATTCGCAACCTTGAATATGAGTTGCTATTTATTTCAATGAATAGTTGAGGATTTCAAACTAAACCCATGTTTATTGAGGATGATTACTGGAAAATAGCGAGGCTTAGACGAGTACTGCGTAAACGTTTTGAATCCGATTATCATCAGGCAGCTCACTATAGCATGTGATCCCCCATGCACAAGCCAAATGTATATTTGTGTCACTGAGCGAATGTGAGTGTAATCCGTAGGTGGATTAAAAAGAAAGACTTTTTATGGATATAATTGTGATATGACGAATTTCACACCGATTAGCTTGACTAAATAAATATGATTGCAATGGTGTGGACATGACGTGATCGAAAACACCTGTCCGCGTATACCGTCTGTTTTAAATGTCACTCATTCACCCATTTCATACCACATTATTACAGTTTTGTTCACCGATTTCATGGCATTTTGAAACCACGACTTCTTCCTATTGCTCACGGATGCGCCAGTACATATTGGTATACTACACGTCATGGACTGCAGTTACCACCTGCCAAACACTCACAATCTCAGGAAGGAGGAGTGCATCATCTAGCGGGTCGTTATCAATCGCGAAGAACACGGTGTCACAACACTAGCAAATTATGATTTGGAATGAGAACGTGCGTATTCAATGTTTTACATATTAGTGCTTTCCAAGAACAATAAGCTGATCCGTAGATATGCATTTCGTGGACTGATAAGCACACAAACGAGGTTCGCACCTCGTTACACGCACACACACACAAACACACATTACCACAAGTCCAAATAAAACAGCTGCAATTGTGAGAACCTTCGCACTTATACCGTATATTCGTATGCATACCTGCTTATGCACGACCTCTGTTGATATTAGCTAAGTTGTGACAACCCACGTACGCGGGCCCATACATACAGAGTCAACATTTACGTGAATACAATTTGCACACACACACACACACACATGCGCGCGCTTGAATGTATTGACTATACGCAGTATAGGGACGAGAAAAAAGGAGAATTGTGTTCGCGCGTTCTGCNNNNCCGCGAGGGAAAAAGACCATTTTCGACGCGTGCCCACAGGCCACGTAAGAGGACATGCACGCACGCATGCGCGAGCGCGCGCGCTTGTGTATGTCGTAGACAGAAAAACCCAAGTGTGTGTGGGGGGGGAGGGGTTATGCAAGACGTATGCACGTGCACGTACGTTTTCGGGGCAGGTTTTAAAATAACTGGGTAAGCGCTAATTAGGGTGGTAACGCGCGCGCTCAAGCAAACAGACAAGATCTCTCGCGCCTCATCTCCCAAACCCAAGTCGCCACAGTTGCGCACAACTCAATCCAGCTCGCCTGTGCGTGAGTGAGAGTGACAGGGATTTGTGCAGTGGTGGTGGTGGTTGTTGCTTGAGAGTTTGAGGACAATTAGTTCCAACCAAAGCACGCGTGTAATAATGTGTGGCCCGCCCAACAGCTAGCGCATAGTTGATACTTGTTAGTATGTGTTTGTCAGTGTGTATCAGTGATAAAATGTGCCAGATAATGAATGTGCGCATACATACAAGTGGCACTGGAAAGTTTGTGCGTGTTTGCGTATATGCATAGATCTACATGACTTTAGATCGTTCCAGGGTGGCAAACCGTTTCGGTCTAAATATCAGCGCGCACACAGTTGAAGGCAACGCATGACTGCGCACGCACATGGGGTAGTCGTGGGGGCCTTGGGACGTGCGTGCGTTTTTGCCATACGTTTTTCGTCACAGCTGTGTGTATTTGCGTCAAAGATAATCGGACTAACACAAACCCACAATGCGGTGCGTGGACGCCTGATGTCGGGTTGGGTCTTGACAACGAAGGTCAAAAGCACCAACCAACATTATTGTGTGGACTAGCGCGCTTTGCGTCTGACGCTCCGTGCTCTTCGCCCTGTTTTGTCTCTCGCGCTGTCTATCGCTTTACCAACCGATACAGGTCCCTTCGTTCGCATTCTGCGTTCACATTAGACCAATCACAACATGAAAACGAAAAGCGTCTGTGCACTCTACACAACCACCCCATTATGGCAATCCAAACGCTTGTGTATATGTGCGGTCGTGGGTGCGTTCATGATCTGATAGGCTCTCAGGCCGGTCGCGATAGGCGTACGCTGTGTGTGAACAATGTCGGTCTGTCTATCTCTTTTACTCCACGTGTGCGTGTGTTTGTTTAGCCATGACGTCGTGTGTTGGATAGCATTGGTTCATTCAGCCGGTCCGCTCACTCCAGTATGGCGCATATACACGATCGAAGTAGACACACGAACATGTAAACCGATAGACAAACGCGTTTTCCGTCAGCGCGCACTCGATGGATTGTACAGAACACCACACCCTACCTACCAATGCAAGCACGAACGCACGCGCCCTCGGTCTGTCATCCAATCTGCTAGCCGATTCATCTCTTTGCGCTATCACGTCGCCGCGCGCACACATTTACACATCCATTCGCTCATTCACTCATCCAGCGCGTTTCCAGTGGCTTGTACTAGTTCGCCGTACACCAAACCGCCACTCCCGGCTCATGATTGTTTGCGCTTTTGGATTTTGCATATCCTCTCTCTCGGTGTTGATGATGGAACCTATACGTGCATTTTTGAGTGATATTGATCTACCCTAACGAGTGATTCTCGCTACCAAATTCACTACGCAGCTGTGGATGCGTCTGACTTGAATAGTCACCATTACTCCGACGTTTTCCGATTGGACTTGGTTAACTATGCTTTCAACAACACCAAACGGTGGTCCAGCTACATTCGTAGCAATCAATGGAATGTTACCAACCCATCCGCATGGAACCCAGTTTCCGGGCAATCCATCGGGTGCGATGTTTGCTATCCCGCCTGGAATGACCACTCCGAATTTATTGACTGGGCAGAATTTGACCACGGGTCCGTTTATTTTACCATCCGGTCCATTTCCACAAGGTCCACCAGCCAATTTAACATGTACTGTCCCTTATTCGTCTGCACAGTTTCAACCAAGTCCAGCCCCACCGCCACCACTTCCTTCACTTCCACCCCCACCGCCGTCACTTTTCCCATTCCTGACACATACGGCTGGTGGATTGTTAGCTGCCGCTGGTCCGCATGGATCTTTAACGTTGTCCTCTCCGTTCGGTGGTCCGTTACCATCCCATTTGTTGCAACCTCATCCGCCGCCTGGTGCTACGAATCTGTCCACGTTTCCCACTTCACTTTCAAACAGCACCAACCTCGGCACGCTGACACTGCCCAACACACTGATCCCGGATTCCAACCATGGAGCAGCTAACAATAATACTCACATCAACGGGAATAACAATACTAGCTCTGGTAACCCGAACAATGGATTATCCGTATCCTCAGTATCGTCTTCTATGTTTGCCAATCATTTAGTGTCTTCACCGCTCATATTACCCACCTTGTCGTTGGCCATGGGTAATCAATCGCTCAGTGGTAACCCGAATGATATGCTCTCTTTCTCACTGGCTCCACCGTGTAGCACAATCAATACGGGTGCAGTTAGTGCGGCCAACAATACAAGCACCAGCACTGTCAACAGTATGCACATTCCCATCTCATTGGCCCCCAGTGCCATTACATCGATGGCCAATTCCGGTATGATTACCACGTCATCTACTCCCAGTTCGTGTGTATCTATGTTCTCCAACCCAACACATGGTCTGACCATTTCCACCAGCTCATCTATCGTCCCGGTGAACGTTGCTCCGGCCTACGGTTTCTCATTACCATCCTGTTCGTGTTCGTCTACCCTCACAACAACTGTTCTACCGGCTATCTCATCCGGCCCGTCTCCGACAGTCTCGTCGTCATCATCGTCCTATTCCTCGGTCTCGTCTGATTCGATCATCCNTTCGAATTCACAGACCCCGGTTACCTCAGTCGCGACGTCTACTTCCACTTGTGTTAAAGCGGAAAAACCTCAAACACCTATCTTGTCTGCATCGCCAACGCGCAACACTGGTGCTGCTAACGGGAGTAGTGGACATCGATTGACAAATAGTGAGAATTTGCTGGCGCTAGAGTCCGTCGATTTTCATCGAGATGTAATTCTCGACGCGATCGATAAGTTGAGAGAGCGTAAGGCGCGTCCGGACTTTGAACGAATTTCTTGTCTACTCAAGCGGCATCAGAATATCAATCCGGATCATACACAAGTGTGTTTAGGACGTTTAGCCGCAGCTGGTGCAGTGGTCTGTGTCGACTACAAGGGAAATTTGAGCTATCGAAATCCATCCAAATGGCGCAAAACTGCCACCAATTCGGCCACCGTTAACCCCACCGGAGTCAGTCAACGATTAGTCGACGCGGTGCGTCGTCTCATGATCGGGACAGTTCAGGGACAGTTAAATTCCTCCAGCTGTGTAGATCCGAGTA